AAGGACCACGCCTCCATGACCTGTGCTTTTGCTCTTGCCTCCAGGTGGGCCTGTTTGAGTTCTTGTCCTGACTTCCTTTAGTGATAAACAGTAATGTGGAAACATAAGCCAAATAAACCCTTTCTTCCCCCATTTGCTTTTGGTTGCAGTGTTTTATTGCAATAGTAATCCTAACTGAGACAGCAGTTTCTGTAGTGTGCCTTAGTCTTTGCCTTAGCTCTTCATGCTTGTTTTGTGTCACTGTCTGAGACGTCCTTTCTCACTTCTTTATGTGGATTCATTGCCTCTTTTCCCAATAGCACTCATAATTTCAAAGATGTCTTTCACCTTGCACATCCCTAAAAATTATATGAACACTGGGAAGAAATATTTCATAAGTATTTGAGTGAACTTATTAGGAAAATAGAATGTGGTTTGGAAGGCAACATTTGAAGGAGCGAGATTGGCCTATTTCCAGAGAACTTATCATTAGATAGCTGATTTTTTTCCTTTTTAATAATATTTTGGTTAGTTATTTGAGAATTTTTTTCATTACATTTATCCCTTCTCTCAGCTCTACGCAGATTAAACTCTACCTCCCTGCCCTACCAATTTCTTATTCTCTGTTTTAAAAAAATGGAGCTGAATTTGGGTTGACCAAATAATCTTGAGTGCAACCTGTCCCGGATCATGGTTAACCTATTAGAGTCATACCTTTAAAGAAAATTGACTCTCTCTCTCTCCCAACAGCTAGAATTATCAATTACTTTTTACCTAGGGGTGGGACTTCATGTCCTTTTCAACACTTTGCTGTGTGGTTGATATACTGTGCACACCAATAAACTTCTCTGGGGGGTTAGAGAAGAGAGCAGGCACTATATTAAACATAAGTTTAGGCAGTGGTAGAACACGCCTTTAATCCTAACTCAGGAGGCAGAGATCCATATGGATCTCTGTGAGTTCAAAGCCACACTGGAAACAGCCAGGCATAGTGACACATGCCTTTAATCCCAGGAAGTGATGGCAGGAAGCAGAAAGGTATATAAGATGTGAGGACCAGGAATTAGAGCCTTTTTAAGCTTTGAGCTTTTAGCAGCAGTTCAGCTGAGATCCATTCAGATGAGGACTCAGAGGCTTCCAGTCTGAGGAAACAAGATCAGCTGAGAAGTTGGTGAGGTGATGTTAACTGTGGCTTGTTCTGTCTCTCTGATCTTTCGGCATTCACCCCAATATTTGGCTCCGAGTTTATTTTTATTAAAGAGACCTTTTAAGATTCGTGTTACATTGCTAGGATTTTTGTTTGACCTGATCTTGTACAGGTCTTGTTTGTGCTGTCATTATCATTGTGATTTCCTATGTACACAGGCCATGTTGTGTCTAGAGCCCAGGGTTTCCTTGTAACTATTTGCTGCTTCTGCATCTTACACTCTTTCCTCCTCTTTGTCTCAGGTGATCCCTATGCTGGTGTTCTATTTAGGGCTGAGGACTCTTCAATCCCTTATTCTCTGCGTGTTGTTTATTGTCATCTACTGAAAGAAGAGACATTCTGATGAGGTTTGAGAGGTGTTCTAATTATGAGTATGATCATAAGTCATAACTAGTCAAGTTCCTATTGTGAGTTTCTTTCCTGTATATGCATGAAAATAAATTATCATCCTGATTTGTGGAGAGGATGAAAAGTGATGACTACATAAAGATAATGATCCACCAATAGAAGATACTTATTGACTGTACTACCATTACCAATAGTAACAGACATAACCATAATTATCTAATGTCCTGAACTCCATCAATGAAAAAAAATGAAAACACCCACCTTTTGATTTATGATTAAAGACTTCAGATAGAATCTTGAATATCCACCCTTGGGAAATGGAGTAAGTGGCACAACTTAATAGTTTTAACTCATGTAACAGAACAATTAAAAAATAGACAAAAGGGGAAAGTCTTACATTGGAAAAGAAATTGACCTGATAACCAAATGCTGCTTTCTGTTATTTCCTGGGAGAGTATACATGTTAAATTCATGGAAGTATTCCCAATGTTCTTGTGGGGATACACTTAGATAACAATTGCATTCCTATCAACAAAATTGGACCTAAGGAAGCATGCCAAACATTTTAATAGTGCAAGAGTTTTCTATGTAGTATATTAAAGTTCACCAACTAGATGAATCCTTACTTGCTTTGTGTGAAGTATGAAAAGCTTCTTTCTCTTCTACTCAGATGAAGTATCCTTGTGGTTGTGGTTGGATATCTATATCTCCTTGTGTCTCAGTAGTCAGAGCCTGGGCTTTGTATGATTCAGCCTTACTCATCTATATGGCTCATTTCACTTTTACAAAATACCATTTGCAACCATAAGCAGACTCAATACAAGCTGACATACAAGCAACTATATACAGGCAGAGACCCTGAAAATATAAAGACAAAATAGGAGTCTAGATAACATGAACTGTAGGATGGCAAAGCTTAGCTAAGGCTTTCTTCAGCTGATGTCCTTGAATGAAATGCACAATGAAAAACTATATGCTTTCTACAGCTGATGGGAAACACCTTATCTAATGCAGAGACTAATAATTTAGAAAAATTGTTGCTTAATAATGATAGAGTGAGTAAGGGAGAGATGATTAGGAGCTGGGCTTGAACAATGCAATCAGAGTGTCACTTTTTCTGGAATGCTTGGGATCACAAGTATTTTAATTTTTTTATTTTTCTGATCTAGAAAGATGTATATATACATAATGGAATATCTTGTATTTAGACACACATGTGAACATAAATTCACATGCACATCATGTATACAAGCACATCATTTTAAGGTAGCTTTATAAAATATTTGCTGTAGTTTTACATTTAACACACAATTTCATCATGTGGAATTTTCAATTCGTGATATCATATCAGCCCTGAATGTTTTAGATTAAAAAATGAATCTTTTTTAGATGAAAAAAGAACATTTTTCTTTGTAAATACTTTTGTTGTTTGAGAATTTTGTATATGAGTATGATCAAATTAACCCCATAAATACACATCTTGCTTCAAAATTCTCATCTATATCCCCAGGACTTTACTCCCAAATGCATGTTCTCTCTCTCTCTCTTTTAAAACCCACAAAGTCTATTTAGTGCTACCTGTATTCATGGGTGAAGGACCATCTACCAAAGCATGTGTACCTTCCCAAGATTTTGAAACATTTAGATCTTCAAGCTTCTAGACTGGGGTTGTTCAACATACTTTGAAAAACACCAGTCGCATTACTTAGTTCTAATGATGTTTACTGAACATCCACTCCACTGTTGATCTTATAGATTGTAGAAATGCATATGCAACAGTTTTGACCTTTAGAAGAAAGTCCTGAAAGTATAATATTAGCTAATGGATCACTATAACACAGAGTATGGTAAAATAGGAGGCTTATTGCGAAGAAGGGAGTAAAGGGAAGGGGTATCCATGTCAAGTAGATCAGGTGAGATCATTGTGATTGTGTACTGATCCTTGAGAGAAGTGAGTTATCCCTGGGGAGACTTGAGAAGGCACTGCCACTCTGTCTTCTTAAAGTTACATTGTAGCTTTGGCATTGCAGCTGGTGCTTCCATTCATGGCAAAATAACAATGTTTACTGAGGTAGAAACAGCATGGACAAACGCAAGGTTGGAGGAGTTCAGACACTCTTTAAGGAAGCAAAGACAGATAATCCGCTTCAGCAAGATTCCAAAGGTCAGATACAGAGAGAAGGCGGTGGGTTGAGGTGGAGGAGACACAAATGGCAAGAGACATGAAATAAATTAGGCTCTAATGGAGCACATTTGAGTTTCTTATCTCTTTCAAGATAATATGCTGGGAAGCCCCTTTTCGGTTTTAAACACAGTTGGTCTCCTAAGGAAGTATCTGCCTGTGGGCAGGGATAGGT